TCCAGTCCTAAACATTTTTACTTGGAACTCAAACTTTCTTCCACTTGCACATGCTTAGGATAGCTGTTTGCCACTAGCCTTCTTATGATTCATACAGGGTTGTCATATTCAAGGAGGAGTGCTTTTTGCAAAGCTGCAGTAGAGATCATGAAAACACCTGCTTTCAATGACTCTCAGGTCAGTGGAACACTGTTCCTGATCTTCCTGGTAGTAAGATGAGAAGGGTTTGGCCCGAGTACAGAGAAAATATTCCTAGGTCCTGTTGCCATAAAAAGTCATTGGGAGAACCCTCCCAAATAAACCTTTGCATAAGTAAGATTTTATTGGGTATGCAGCTCAAATCTCCATTAGCCATAATAGAACTGTAGTTTGCAGGACTTGTCTACTTTACTTTTTCACTCCCTTGGAACTCAGAGGGCAATAGAAACTAACAGAAAGAACTCATGAGAAAGTCTGCTTTGAGAAAAGGTATTATTTAAACTTACAATTTGTTTTGTCTTTCCCCAAACTTCTCTTTCCAGATCCAACAAAAGAGGAGAATTTTTTAATTTAAAAAATCCAGTAGCTTTGGCTACTGTCCATATATCTTAGCCGCTGCAGTATTTTTTATATTAATAAAAAGGGAAACAAAAAGAGTACACTCACAGGAAAGTGTTTAAAGCTCCTAATTTCACTTTATTTAATGCAAAAGATAAAAAATAATTGGTAAAAATAGTAATGTGTTAGTTTAGCAACTATAAACAACAAAAGCATAGTGCAGGTGATATTTCAATAAAGGTAACTTAAAAGTGTAAATGAAAGCGAGATTGAGAATCTCTCACTTCATTAAAACAACATTTTGCTTTATTGCTATACAAATTATCACCATTAAAAACTTCCAAAAAGGTAAGGGTGCAAGCCTGACTCCATTGATATAAATGGTTTTCATTGGTTGCAATGGAATCGGAGTTTTCACTGTTATCAGAGATTAATGGTAGTACTGTTGCAGCTAAAGCACTTAAAAAAAACTTTGTAGCCAAGGAAATGTTTACTAAATATATAATGATCCACTGAGATGATATCATAAACTCATCAAGGAACAAATTAAAATGACATTAGGTCCAAGTTTGGAGAAATTAAAAAATCATTTATGAATCTGTGACAATTCTGAAATATGAAGTTATATGTCTGACCCGATCACTGTAACACATTTGAAGGGAGTTGTGTAATCGAGTGGAAAACATTACAATTTGTTTCAGCTGTCACCATGTGATATGAGAAGACCTAACCTTTCCCACTGTTTAAACTACTTTAAAGGGATATCGCTGGGGCTACAATATATGAATATCCTCATTCAAGAGTAAGTGTAAATAAAAGGGCTTTTGTTGGAGATCTAAATTAAATGCCTCTCATTCCTGAATAACATCAGCCAGGAAAAAAGTCTTATCATTCCACCTCAACTCAGAAGCTCAAATCTGAACCTCGTGCCAAGACGTCACATTGAACTTTCCATAAAATTTTAGTAGGGATATTATCTTACTTAGAACGCAAATTCTCCATTGTAAAAATGGGTATAATACATGAGGTATCATGTCAAGAGAGAGATTTTTAAGAACTTCTTACCATCTATCAATTCAAATTCCAATTTTAATAAAGTGCCTAAATACACATTTCCACATACTATAGTGGTTCAAAAGAATCCTTTACAGTTGTATATATGTGCGTTTTTCCCCTCAAACTGTCTAAATGTGTTTACATAAGACACCAGTCTGGACTATATTATTTCTATCATTTTAAAGAGTAATGAATTGAATTATCATGCAAATCTTGTTATTTAATATTACACTGACCTGTAATATGAAACACAATGCTAGTGGGTGTGCTTATTAAAACACTTCATAAAGAAAGTTACTGTGCATGTGCAGTTTGGATTTTCAAATGTCATGACCATTTAAAAAAAATCTACCAAAATCTATTCTGCATTAAAAAGCAGCCTGAACATTATTACATAAGAACAGTCTGACCAAACAGCATCCAAAACTGTTAAACTTAGTCGTACAGATTTCTTTCAACATCAATACGTATAGTGTTATTTGCCACAGAGATTGGGGGGGGGGACCTTATAACCATCTTTCTGCTTCAACAGTTGCTTGCGACCATATTATAAACACTCAACTACAAGGGGTTGCACAGCAGTGTTGCTAAAACAACTGCAAACAGCACAAAAACACTACAGGAAGGCTTAACTATTTCTAGTAACTGATGATTTATTGGTTAAAAATGTCTGCCGCCTGATGCAAAAAAAAAAAGTGATCAAAATAGTAATTTTACAAAAGAATTCTTGAAAATAGTCTAAAAGGCAAGGCATGCCCATGTGAAACTGCAGTTGACTTAAAAGTTCCAAGACATTTTATTTAAATGAGAATTAAATGTTTCCCCAACATACATGTTAAGAAACTGCAGGTAAAAATTTCCCATTCTTCTTTATGCTGTCAACATAAGCAAGCCAGGCAAAACCTCAAACACTGGGATCTGCCACTACGTCGCAATATGATGTCAGCTATAAAAACAATAGTCCCTAGTTAAGTAAGTTCAAAGTCCACCTGCACCATATTAAAAACCCTACCTCAGCGTTTTCCACAGAAACAGGAAGAAAATGGCAATATCGAATGCTGCTGAAAAGGTACAGATTTATTTAAAAGATGGCAGTGCTATTCTGTCTGCATCAATGTATGGTTAAATCAATAATCAAATTTATATCAAAAATTCTACAAGAGCATTATGTCATCAATGAATAAATGCCATTTTGCAATCTTACAATCAACCACGTGAACAGTGGTCAACTCTGCCTTTTAAGGAAGAAAAACCCAAACTCTCAAAATCCCTAATGCAACTGCTCCTCACTTCCCATACTGCTCTGAAGGAAACTTCCTTCTAGCAACAAGCCGCTCCAAGAATCTGTCCATTTTTGCAGCTGCAACAAGGGAACACTGCTTTCACAAGAAACCCTTGTGCTTTCTTATATTCACCTGCATTTGGGCTGGACTATGTGGCCATCCGGAGTTAATCCTACCAACGACTTTAACCCCATGTTTATATCTAAAACCTGCATGCCTCCAGCTTGGTGGGAGTTAAGGACAAAGATAAGGAAATCACAGACAGTAAGGCAATCATTACAATGTCAGAAGATGTATTTGGCATTTTTAAAAAAGGGGAGGAAAAACAAGTGCATACAAATACAGCTAGAAGCATTTCTTGTTTGCTAAGTGCTCTGTAGAAAAAGCAGCCCAAGTCACAGCCTACACTGAACAGTAACTGTCACCAAGGAAGCACAACAAAGAGTTGCTATAACAAAAAAAAGGAAATGCTTTCATAAGTACATACCTTTTGTCTTCAAAAATATAGAAACACAATGTATTCAAAAAAAGAAATCAAAATTATACAGCCATGTTTTTATGAAGTCTACATTTCCCTTTTCCTGGAGATATATATATATATATATATATATTTATATATATAGATATTTATAGATATTTATAGATATATACAATTCAAGCAGTTTTAGTTTAGGGAGGATGTTGCTCTGAGATACTGGGAAAGTCATGAGTCTCTCTCTTTTTTCACTTTCACATCACCTGCAAGAATGGTTGCAATCTCACCCTGCATGAAGGCCCATGGGACATTGGAACCCACCAGAGGGCACTTCTCGCCACTGGGACAATACACCTCCCCACTAGCGCCTTGCTGTTTGATGCTTTGTCTGGAACAAGGGAAGCAAAACTTGTGGGACGGGACGGAAGGGCACTGCACAAAGTGGGTGTCTTCCAGACGCTCATGACACAGAGTGCAGCACAGAGGGACGCTGGCTGCCAGAGAAGAGTCTGGGAGGCTGGCAGGGTGCACTGGTTCCATCCCTCCAGCGTTTGCTCCTTGACTTGACACCTCTCTGCTAGGGCCCAGCCTTCTTTGGTTCACTGATGGAGAGGGTGGGCTACTGCTATTCCTCCTTGTGGTAGAGTGAACCTGGTTGGCATCTTTGGAGGCATGGTTGCCCCCAGCATTGTCTGCGACTAAAATGAGCGCAGCCATAGGAGACTGGCCATTCTGGACAGCCTCAGGTGGTGTGGTCCGGTTAGAATGAGGTGAAGCAGTTGGCGGTGGTGGATTCATGAAAGATGCAGCTGCCATTGTTATTTTCATTCCTTCTGATGAGGTTGGTAACCAAGGTTGTGCCTCTCCATTGATTTTAGGAGGTCCAGCGTCCCCTTCTGGCTCTGGAGAAGGCTTTCTCTTCCTTGCTGCCCGTGCCCCTATAAACACAGGGTTGGAGAGGAGAAAGACGTTGCAGAAATACAGCTACACCAATGTGTGTGCAGAAGGCAAAGTCCAGGGGGCCACAGTCCAGTCATGCCAAGTACTTGGACATAAGCTGATTTTCAAAAACTGGCTTAAAACCAAGTTAACTTTGGGTTACCTCGGGTAGTGGGCCAGCAGCTAAAAGGCAGGCGAACATTCCGTGCCACTGCTTACGCTACAGTACATGCTGCATTCAAATGCGCCTACACTGTACCACACTCCCACGCTGGCCTTGAGCCAAACAGCCACTGCATCCTTGTAATCCTCCACTCACTCAGAACACGGCCAAGCAAAAAGCGAGGCACAAACAGAATGGTGTGCCCGCTTGCACCCAGACCCGCCTTGGCATGCTGGTAAATGACGACAGCCTTTATGCCTGCTTGTACCTTTGTACAGTTTAGCCAGAGCCGTGCAGAGTATGAGGACCATATGGCCTCCAGCTCTCCCATTCAGCAAAATGTCTGCTGTTGCTTCTCCTAACCGCTTTGCACGCCTCAGGTCAGCCTGAAAAGAATGTGGCCAGGGCTAGGGGAGGGAAAACCCTCTCTGTCAGTGTCTATCAGCGAGCGCCCTGACTCATCCCTCTCACACTGTTTCACCACACCAAACACTCCGCTCACTGCCGCTCGCAGGCACCAGGAAGTGGGCGCGAAATGGCGACCCTCGCTTGTTTTTCCGGGGGGTGGGGGGGAAGAGAGAGACGCTTCACTCCACAGACCCCCGCCCGCTCGGCGCCCGGTCTCAGCCCCCACCTCCCCGTTCTCCTTACCTGATTTCGCCATGGCCCCGTTGCTCTCGTAGCCCAGCAGCCTCCCGCCCGCCATGCCGGGCTCCTTCTTGAATTTGCTGTCGTAGGGCCCCGCGTGGCTGCCGTGCTGCATGGCCAGCAGAGTGTCGCGGACCGTCTTGGGCTTGCTCACCCAGTCCTGGTCCAAGCCGGCGGCCACGGCTCCCCCTCGGCCCTTGTTCTCCACGCCCAGCTGGTCCAGGTTGTCGGCCGAGCCCCGCGCCTGCTGCTGTCCCTTGTCCTTGCCCTCGAGGTCGCTCGCGCCGCCGCCGCCGCTGCTAGAGGACGACGAAGAGACCGAGCCGGGCCGCTTGTGTCCCCCCACCTCCCCAGGCTGCTGCTGCTGGCTCTGTTGCGCCTGCGAGACTGACACCTGCAGCGGGGTCGGGGCTCCGGAGATGGCCGCCAAGGAGGCTGCCGCCGCCGCTGCCGCCCGGCTGTTGATGCTGATGGCGGCGGGCAAGGAGGCTCCGTTCATGAGAGGCACCAGGGTGGGGGGCACGGTGTGCGTCCGCCGCGGGTTGGGGCTCTGCCGGTTGAGCTCAGGAGGCTCCTCGGGCTTGGAAAAGCCGTTGGGCACCAGGATGCCATTGACCTGCCTGCTGCCTCCTCCGTACTCGGCTCCCAGGCGCGGCGGCGGCCGCTCAGAGGGGGCGGCGGCGGCCAGTGAGTACCGCTCGTGAGGCTGCTGTGGGGCGCGGGACGCCGCCTCGGCTGCAGCAGCTGCCGCCGCCGCCGAGTGCATCTCCTTGGCGCTGAGCGGCGGGGGCTGCTGCTTGGCATGGGGCGGCGGAGGTGGCGGGGCCCGGCCCTCCTGGAAGCTGTGCGCTCTCTTCAGCTGTCGAGCCGTGTCGATGACGAACTCCACCCGGTCGGCCCCTTCGTAGTTGACGCAGCCCCTGCAGACCGGCTCCGTGAAATCCCAGATCATGGCCCACGGCATGCGGGGCAAGTCGCATAAGTAGCACGACTGCCTGCGGGAGGCAGCAGCCACGGCCACCGCGGCAGACGACATGGCCCAGTCCAGGGGCAGTGAGCGCCCCGCGCCTCGTCCCCTGCCTCCGCCTCCCCCTCCTCTTCCCACTGCTGCTCTTCTAGCCACCGGAGAGGCTGGGCGTTCTGCAGCTGCCGCAGGCTTTGGCACGGAATGCCACCTCCTCTTCCAAACGACCGAGGGGGAAGGGGGGGAAGCAGCTTCGCCTTCGGCCAGTCTCTCCTAATCCCCCTAAGCTGCAGGCACTCACAGGGACGTGGCGAGACGCATCGCCCGAGCACGGCAGCCTCCGACCCCCACTACAGTGCGCTGTTCCTGCTGCCCGCACCGCGCCGCTCGCTACTACAGCGCTGCCCGCCGGCTGCCAGCCGCCCAGACACTCGCACTGGGGCGGGGACTCCAGAAGCCGTCGCCGCCGCTGTTGCGCTCTGCTCCACTGACTCGATTCTTCGACAGTGCCCAGGAGCGCCTGCGTGCTAGGCTCTCCCCCTTCCTCCCCCCTCCGCCTCCCTTTCCTCCTCCTGCTGCTCATTGAACTTCTGCCAAGACAACAAGAGCTGCAAGAATAACCAGCTCTCTCCTAGTCAGCACACGGGGGGGGGGTAGAGGAGGCGGAGGAGATGGAGGGAGCGGCAGGGCTCTTGCCTGTGAATGGATGCAAAATATGGGGATCTGGGAGCCTTCCCCATCGCTTTCCTTCCTTCCTCTCTCTGTAATGGTTCTTGGATACAAATGCGCAGGGGGGGGTGTTTTTCGGGTGGATGTCTCTCCTATTTTAAAATCTAGGTTATCATTTGAATCCCTTGCTCCAGTTTTTGAAGCATCGGTGTTGACTCCCCACTGTGTGTGACCTTTGGCAAATGGCTCCTGGACGGGTTCTTTAGAACTGAAAACTCCCAACGGAATTGAAGCTTCTGGTCTTCTCTGTAGTGGTCCCCCCCCCCCCCACGCCTCACCTAAAAGGGTTAATCACAGTACCTTAGGTACGGGAGGAAGGGTGGGACATTGGTACGATTAAGATATAAGTGAATCCTTAGGAGCGCTGCCATTCCCTCCAGTTACATCAGGCATTCTTTTCCCCAGTGAGCAGATTTACTTTAAATCGCAGTACCACTGTTTTTATAGGGATTGCTGCCAAGAAAACACGGATACGAGCAAAGCCACCGGCTGCTACCTTAAGCACCCTGGGAATGCCATGGAATTCAGCGGAACTTACTTCTGAGTAGGGATGCACAGACACTGGCAATTTAGAGCTGCGATCCCAAGCCACTAAGAAGTACTGAAATCATTATAACTTACTTGCCAAATGAATGCAGCTAAGATTAGGATGCATTCCTAAAATCGTTTATTCGGGTTGTGGTGCAACTTCTCCTTGCTACCTTAAGAGGAGGTTATTGGTGCGTGAGTTTATATTTTCGAAATCCGTAACAAATGAATAATTTTACTCGCGTTATAAAATGTTAAAAAGGCATCCGATAGTTTACACTACAAAACCCCCACAAAAGAGCATATGGAAGCTCCGGGGGTTGTAGTTTCCAGGATAGCCGTGCAGGTAATATGCACAAAGTTTTTACAGCCTGTTATGCTTAATCATTGTTTTTGCGTTTGGCCTCACGTAGTGGTGACAAGATCCATTTTTTGCTAGTTTCCCCAGCATTAAACTAAGCAGGCCATTTTTTTAAAGCAACAGGGACATTTCTGTCCGTCCGCCCCCCCCCCGACATTTTAACAGTAAATCAGTATTAATGGTGCAAATTACATTTCCCCTAAACATCTACTCATTCAGCCTGCAGATACTCTTCTTTCTTCCACAACAGAAATTCCGAACCGCTCATTTGGCGTTTGCTACCAAAAGAAAGCGACTGTTGCCACTACAAGGAAAAGTGTAATCCTACTGTATATATGTCGGTGTCACTGTGTGTGCATATGGGATTGTGCAGAGTAAACAAAGTAGAAGCGCTTCCCTAAAACTCTTGCGTCTAGGTCACCATTCCCACAGTGCTGCTGAGTTATGTAGGTTACAAAGGAAAAGGGGGGGGGGGGGGGGAGAGGTTCCGGGGTTCAAGCGACGTTCGCATTTTGTTCAAGGGCTTCTGCCGCACTCTCTGCGCAGCCGCACTCGGAGACGTGACTCTATGCAATTGGCACTTGAAGCCTTATTAAATGAAATGCACATTCCAGGGACAGAGAGAGACCTACAGCCAGCACCGCCACTGCGCCGTCACAGGTTTAAGCGCCGCCCTCTTTGCTGCTATTTCTGGGCTCTAAATGCTCCCTCCTCCCAGGCTGTAACTTTTGCTTAAGGTAGCATGAACAACATGCATGGTGTACTGATGGATGGGCGTGAAAACAGTATACTTTACAGTAGATCTTTCTCTTTTGTGTTTTGCATTAATAGGCAATGCATTTTTAGAACAAGTGACGCGGTACTCTTTGTTCATGCATACTAGGTAGTGAGAGGATTTGGCATTGCAGCTTCATGTGCAACAGCCTGGGTAGTCTGCAGTATTTTAGCTCCAGAGGGGGGGGGGTATGTTAGTACAGCAAAACCAAAAAGAAGCCGGGGGTGGGTTAAAATGTAGTCGTTTGCTGCCGCCATGATTTGTCTCTGCAGCAGCTCTGCCTACTATAAGGCAGTTTAACAGTTGCGGACCCTGCTGTCGTGTGCTGAGTATCAATTGCAGACCCTGCTGGTGCTTCCCAAGTGCATTTGCAATAGGAGAGTTTGGGAAGCTCGTGGTTTATTTTTAACAGTCTTCACGAGCCTTTTGGTTGTTGCTTTTTAGTTACTTGTATGGAGCTTATTTACATGTTGAAAAGCACAACCTAGTCTTGCTCCCACTGAGGTGAATGCAATCTATCTGTTGACTCACTGGCTCAGATACTTGCCAACGCCTTTCAGTTGTAACATGAACCTAGGAAAATGTTTCTTCCCCCATCCGCAAACTCAGTTGCTTTAGCTGTCAACTTTCCGACCGCCATTCTTTTCTCTCTCTTTTTGCAAACAAACGCCGCAGGCCGATTTTTTTTTTTTTTAATCTCCTTTGAACTGGAATGAACTGGTTGTGAGTTGGAGGAGCAGAGTGTAGATTATTATCTCTACAACGAGATTGGCAAAGCGGAGGGCGGGAGGAAGGGAAGAATCTTGCTGACGTTTCTGCCTTGTTATTGAAAATGCACAGTTGTTGTTTGAACAGCGTTTCCTAATGAAGCGGAAAGGAGCGGGGGGAAGCAAACCGTTCTCGGTTTTATTGATTTCAAGAGATCACATGGATAAACCTGTTCCAAAGTCACACGCGAAATGTTTAATCCAATATTAACCCGCATTCGATTTACGAACAAATATGGCCTGAAACTCCCGTGGGGATTTCCAGTAGGTGTTGCCGCTTGTTACGGATGCGTTTTCAAGGCCGCCAGCCAATTCTACCAGCACGTAAACCGGTTCAGCGAGGTTGATGCAGGCTGCCTTCTCGCACGAACCAACCTGCGAAGGAAAGGCTGTGCGGACCCAGCCGCGAGAGCACGAGTCCATTTCTCTCCCGTTCCATTCTCAGACTAGAAAACTGCAACCAGGGATAAGCCTGAGGGAAACCCCATTGTTCTCTGGCGCACTGCGGGGTTAATCGTTTCCTGTCCTTCGGCGCCTCCCCAATGAAGCTAGATGAAAAACGTCAACACTGCCTGCCTTATTCACCTAGTCGGGGCTCAAACGACCACCGCCCCTCCCACATCCCTTTTCTCCTCAGCCACCGCCCCATGATCGATATTAACTGGCGTAAACCAGTTGTATTTGGAAGGATGTTTTGTGGACAAAGTAAAATCTGCTCATATTTTTAAAGACACTACTGTTTTTTTTAAAAAATCCCTGTTTAAAGGGCTGGGTTTTTACCTACCCTGGGAAACTGTATCCCCCCCACAGCCATGTCTACAAAGTATTTAAAATGGCATCAGCCGTCAGCCGCCCAGCCCCCTCCTGCCTTCATGTTGGTTTGGCCAAGCAAGGGTTAATGCGTCTTGTTTTCAGTTTTAAAGCCGCCACGCCTTTTACATTGTTGCTCCGTCGAATTCTGTCAGTTGTGCTCCCTTCGTGCTTTGTAGCTGTGTGTGTGCGCTGTTGATGTTCTAAAGAAGCTATGTACTTAAAGTCAACAGAGTTTTGTTTTTGTCTTCCACCCACTGCCCTGGTTCTTTCTCCAGGGTGAACTTGGATTCTTTCCAACGCGGCTGCAGCAAATGCTGCCTACACACACACACACACGTTTTGAGGGGGAAAGAGAGGGAGAGCCGGGTTTCTAGGGTGAGGCAATGCGTCTGCAATTCGCAGAGACAAGGCTGGAATTGTAATTGCTTCCATCATGTGATGGCTTATGAAAGAGGAAGTTCGGATGCTTTAGTCACGTACTGCTGTGCCCTCTCGCTTAGCCTCCGGGTCCTGTAAAAGGAAAAATGCATATATAAGTTGTCGGTACTGGCGGAGAGCCAAGAAATCGCCTGTTTGAGCAGGGAGGAGATTGTGACCGGTGTGAGCTATTAGCTAAAAAGAAGCGGGGGAAGGGACTCAGGGAACGAAACTTTTACGAGACTGGGGTTCTTTTCGTCAAGCCGTGGCTTGCTACGGCAATCAGAAGTGACGCTGTTTAAAGGGCAATTTTAAAACGAAAATGTGTTTAATTCCGCAAGAGGGAAAAAAAACAGGATCGTTTTTGTTTTTTAAAAAAGCACTGGCCCGACATCTGCTTCTCCTCCTCGAAACCTGATATTTTCCAGGGCATGGATACCTTCTGGGAGTCAAACAACGGCTTGTGGGGGAAGAGTTGCTCTTCTGAACTGGACTGAATCAAGCCCTTGGAACTTAACCTTTTCAGGGCTTCCATTGTTGCTTGGTAATTCTATATTTAGGAACAGCTATTGCTAGAGGACACCTAATGGTGGTTGGCTGTAATACCAGGCGCTGGCAAAAGAACTTGCATAACCACTGAAAAAGACAAACATGCTGAAGACTTCAGATTCTGTTTTTGGTCAAAATATAAAATCAGGAGACCTGGTGTCTGTTCTCTCAGGCACAACGGACTTCCTAAATAGGGAAATTTGGTTATGTTTTATGACTCAAAGGCAATTATTTTAATTTAAAAATACCCTGGAAAAAAGAGACCTTTGGCAACCCTAGATATGTTAACTAAAGAGAATGACCAGGATTAGGCTGTAATTTATTAGCCTTGAACTAGAGCTGAAACAAGTGTTATCTGTTAGTCTGTCCTCTGTCAGAGGGTCTGAGCACAAAGATCACTGTCACCTATGTGAATGTTGTCTACTATTAAGAGTTGAATGTAGAAATCTGGCAACTGGCCTTTCCTTCAACATATGGTTAAGGTTACCTCCATTCTGCAAAAAGTCAACAAAAACCAGTGTCTTAGTTTTCCTGTTT